TTAACTCCTTATTTGAACCTTTAATTCTATACACTAAGAATAAACATATCTAAGAAATAAAAAAAAAATGTTTATTCGGTAAATATTCTAATATTTTTACTTATACCAAGATACATTTTACATTGACAAGTAAAACGTACGGAAACGTCCTCCTCTAATCTCGACGAGTTTGTAATATGTTGAAATTTAAATTAAAACAGAGGTCATACATATTTCTTTGTACCCGTCCATACGCACATTTAGGAAATAAAACATCCGCTTTAAAAAAATCGATTTTTTCGGAACAAATATTGTCTAAACTATGAGATAGATAAAAAAAACTTTTTACATGAAAGTAAAATGGATTTAAGAGTACTTTATAATGACGTTCTCCCACCTGCGCGAACAGCATAGCCACTACGCCGCAAATAGCATAGCTGCTTGATACGTTAACACTACTATGTTTTCTTCTTACTTGCTCATAATAGAAGACCTTTATAAGAATTTATTATCGCTAAGCTAGTGATGTTATTCATAATCATTAAATTATAGAGCTCGCATTGACCCCAAATATTTTAATGCTTAGAGGTATAGTGATTAAATGTAGATGTAGTGATTAAAACTATCTATCATTAATATGAATATTTAAATACTAATGCTTAATAACGCAATAATGATAAAATATACTTTTATAGAAATTTAATACTGAGAATTATTAAATTTGCAGTCATTAAATATTGAGAAAGCAATGGAACTACAGTAGATAGTGAGTATACATCAAGTAAGTATTCTGGTAGCAGAAAATCTAGAATGTTGATTACCCAAGTTCGATATTGTTCTGAGTTTTTTTGTTATATATATATTCTTATCTATATCAGATAAGAATATAATTTTTTTGTTATATATATTCTTATCTATATCAGATAAGAATATAATAACGGGTCAATTTTTATACCATATACTGCGACTTCGATTCTTGATATAACCAATTACTATGTAAGCTCGTGAATAATGGCTCGCAATTGTGACCATTTGATGAAATCCTATGAAATTTCATAAAAAAAATGTTCAAATAGTTTCGCAAACGAGAGTGTATAGTCAATTTCTGAATGGTTTGGACATTCCTTTTATAATGCAGTTCGGAGCGCAAACAATAGTCCAAGGAGAGAACTCTTTCGAAAAATATAAATATTCTCATTGATCCGTTGGCCGCGGTCCAAACTGAATTGAAAAACAGTGCCTAAACCATTTAGAAAGCGACTGTACAATCGACAAATTAAAGTTGCAATACTTTCTTTTCGATGAATTTTGTAATGCATCTCGTATCTATATATCTCCTGAGAATTAGTAAAAGATGAATTCTTTTATTGAACACAGGATCGTTGTAAAACTCATCGAATATAAAGTACCGCAACTTCTGCCAATTGCGTGAGTATATATATATATATATATATATATATATATATATATATATGTGGGTGTACATCGAGGCGGTATTCACAGTCTTATAAAATACAACGAGCGCGTATTATTCCCCATTACTACACTATTAACCATGTATCACGTAGTACCTTCAAATTTGAGGTACTAATTTCTAAATGGAAACGACAATTCGAATTACTCGTTAGTAGCAGATACTTTTCCCGATAATTAACACGAGGTCCGAGATACATGAGATAAAGAAAAAAAAAAACAAAAGCGGTTGGATATTGTCCTTATGAACCCACAGTACTTTTATTTAGAAGATACAATGCTTCCCGTGTATACCTCATATACATAGGTATAAGATATTCGTATGTGTATGTAAGATGCCTTAAATGTGAAAACGAAAAATGTCATAGAGTATAATTGCTCAGTTGTAAAAGCGATTGCCTGGCAAGTAGAAAACTCGAATTCGATCCTAGCTGAGTCTGCCTCGCTCCGAAATTTTTTACCTCATATGACATTAAAGTAGATCTCTATAGGATAAAAACAAATGTCTCGGCGAAGTTCCAACTTTCTTTCCAGTATTTTTGCAATGCTGGAAATCGATAAATGTACCTCCGATTATCCCGTGTCGTAATGTATCTTCTCCCATGAAGACCTCCTGATTTCGAGGTACTAATGTCCTTTGTAATTACATAGAGTTGTAAGTACATAGGGTTTTTATTTCAACGTGTACCTCAAGTTATTGGCGATATATGATTAAAAATGTAGTTGAGAGGAAATAATTAATTCACGCACAAAAATATTTACGTGCCACTGTTGAATTCCGATTGAGATATTGTCATTAACGGTGAATCAGGCCGTGCATCGTTTAACGTTCAATGATTCAAGAATTATCAGAAAAGAAATTACTACACCAATGAGCATAATTATCCTGTGGTTATTCAGGGAACAATAATTCACCGTGAAATACCGTCCTTAGTAACGATTCGATGCACGTGCGAAAGTCGCACGAGTTACATGTGCATGGGGAACGAAAATGTAGTGCTCTCAATCCGATCGTTGTGCGTTAACAAAGTACTTTATAAAAGATCGTTCATAAAAACGTGAAAAATCATACGAAATACTGTCGGCGGGCATTCCTAGAATAGCAAAAAGAGCCACGTCACATTTCAGTGGCAAGAGGCACACATGCTTCACCACATCCTTGTCGCGTTTTCCTGCCCAAGATTGTACTCGAGAAACAGCCGTTTGAGACTCCAGCAAAAGATTTCTTCTTCAACTCATTCTCGTTCGGACAACTTTGTTTCTTTCGTTTCACAAAAATGATTTTAGAAGAACGATCTCCAAAGAAAGAGCACATTCCACGAAATTAGCGAAAACTCGCGTTACAAACAAATATAAATATAAATATGCTATTCAATAATCATTATAATATATTGTTAATATTATATTAGAATATGTTATAACAGGTAATTTCTGCCCTTCCTTGTTTAGAAATATTTTCCTCAAAATTTTTTCGTACAAAGTTGAGGACAATTCTACGTGCATTCTTACCGGAACTGTATGCCCATTGAAATCATACATCTCAAAACGAGCTCTCGCGTTTAGTTCTGAGCTGTGCAGCCTCCGGGCTCGGTGTCATCGCTGGGTTATCGTAGGCATAGTCGAGAGTAGTGTCCTCGCTGGGATGCCTTCGTGAGAGAGTAGTGCTCGTGGTGACTGGTGTATCGTTATTATTTCCACTCATTTCCACTGTGGAGCTTATAGTTGGCATAGTCAGCTTGATGTTGTTTTGTTTAGTAACGTTGGATTCAACATCGTCTTGTACTTTGTTTTTACTTGCTGTCTTCTGAAACGACAACGGAATAGTGACAAAATGTTTTTTGCTTTGCAAGCGACACGCGAAACAATTTCGTAAATTAATCAGAACAATTATTACAGTACCTCTGTAAAACTGAAATAGAAATATATGAGGAATTTATTCTCTAAACTTTTTAGTATTTAAAAGTTTAGGCTCTCTAAACTTTGCAAAATTTGGTTTGAAACAAATAAGAAATTGCTTAAAGCTATAATGAAAATACCGTCATTCGGAAACACAAAAGTGAATGTTTAATTTAATATGTAGTGGATTCTTAGTCCATGCGAATGAATAATTCAATCGATTAGGGTAAATTTATTCCAGCAATGGTGAAATATATTCGCTTAGCAGTGTCTGGTATTATTCGTATAAACGAGAAGATTTAAAAAATTATTCCTTATTTCTCCTTACCACTCTAATTCATCTGGCAAGCCGTGCAACTAACAATCGCGGCAATCAGGATCGTTGACATAACACGAAATCTATAAAACGCTTCCCAATATCTGAAAAGTTCTTATCGAAACAACTCCTTCAATTAATTTATTATAATTTTAATAATATATAAATATATGTTGCTAACATATAAAAATATGTGTAAAGAAGTTGTTTTGATATGAAATTTCAAACATCAGGAAGCGCTTCACCTTCACAAATCCATTGTCTTGAGGCTGACCACCGCGATTGTCAGTTGCGTAGCTCGCTGGGAAAACTGAAAAAGCAAGGAGAAGTAAGAAGATAACCCTCGAAAATAGTTTCATTTATTCAAATAAATTCGAATATTGTTTTAAAAACCGATCTAAATATTTTCTTTTCGGAACGCAGATGATGTCCAATATACAGAGTTGCAATTCTGTGCCGATTCCGATTCTGAGGCAACATTTTGAAAACATATTCTATTAGTTCATGCGTGCAAGCATTTTTGCCCCTTTTTTAATAAAGTTTATTTAAATCAATAAAATATTAGATATATAATTAAGTTCCTACCATTTTTTATCAAAATTATTGTATAAATGCAAAAGAAACAGTACAGTTGTTTTAATCAAAATATTTTCTATTTGTATTTACCACTTTGTGCCATCTTGCGGGCAACATATGGATGTCGCGGCAAAATAATGTCTTGTCTTTTGACGCAATAAAATCGTCTACCCATTTTCTATTTCATTTCGGAAGTGTGTATCACAGAGGCTGTGCTGCATCGATCGGGACAAGTGATAATCAGATGACGCGATATCTGGAGAGTACACTGAGTGGGGAAAAATTTTCTATTCCAGATCATACAATGTTTGCTTGCCTTCACGATCAACATGAAGTAGCGCGTTATCGTGGAGCAAAATGACTTTATGACGTTTTGAGGCATATGCGACTGTTTCTCTTGAAATGCTTGGTTCAAATGATGTAATTGATCCACATAACGTTTTGCTGTGACCCAATGGAAGGAGCTCATAATAGAGTACTCCATATTCATTCCGCCAGATGCGGGGGAGTAGCTTCTTGCCGTGTAAAATTTTGCAAACCAATCTCGGCACATTTTTTCTGCCACAACATCGCCATATGTCTCACAAATAATTCTGATTTTTTCTTTATATTTCATTGAACTGAAACTATGCTTAACTATGAAGTAGCCAGCTGTCATAATGTTGCTGGAATGTATGTTAGTCAACTTTATTAAACAAAACAAACATTGGCCTCAAGAGTCTCAATATATCGTTGTCAACATTATTTAAAATAAGTAGCGGGAACTTAGTTATACACCTAATATTATATATTTGTTTCACACTTATAATAATAAAATTCGGCAAGTCTTTTCTACAAAATAGTGTTTCATTCATTTTGTTCAGCCTACTTATCATGAAATAATAACCATTTACTTGAGACACAATCCCAATAGTCACCCTGTATATGACAGCTATTGTACTCATTGACGGGTTCAAAGTTCAAGATTCAAGATTCGATGTATTGATGTCCGTCGCTAGGTACAACAGCTGTCATATATGTGTAGATTAACGTATTCACTGCGGGGCCATTGATGAAAAATAGTTACCTAATGCTGAAAATTTTGTATTTGTTAAAATATCCCCTTCTACATTAGTTTAAACATTTTATATTATATTTTACTTCATTTTCAATTTTTTCGTAGAAAAAAATCGGATCTGACACAATATCAGCACCCGCTTTCCTTAATGGCTTAACTGCCAAACAGCTTTCTTGTGACAATGTGTCGACAGACGCAGTGAACGTGTTAAGCTATTCTGAACAAAATAATTTCCTACTATTTTGCAAATAACACGCAAATGTTTTAGTTATTATTTAAAGAAGACTTTATATATGACTATCTTCAATCATTAATAACTCAAAATTTTATGTAGTTATTTGCAAAATGGTACAAGACTTTTCTGTTCAGTTTAACCCGTTCTCCCTTCACACGAGCGATGAGAGAAAAATTTCGGACATTTTGTATATAATTTTATGTATTAACCCTTTCGGTACTACCGTCGCCTATTGGCGGCGGCCATGAAACGTTCTCTGGGTACTCCTGCCGCCCATCGGCGGCGGCCACGAAACGTGCAACCATTCTTGTGAAAAACTTCCTCGTACCACGAATGTGTAACGGCGGCCAGCTCCTCCGTACCGAAAGGGTTAAAACTATTGTATTATACTAATTTATGATACATTAAATTCATTCTCCAATTTTAAATGAATACGTACATTCGACAAAGTGGAAAATTCATTCTATATGAATAAAAAGTCGCGTGAATTTTAACGACTCTCATGTCACCCCACTTTTCGAACGGAATTTCATCCCAAAAATTTCGCGAATATAATTTTCTAACAGAAATTTGACTCAACTTATTTAATTTTGACTTATTCGATAATTGAATATAACTTATTCTGAATATAATTCGTATTCAATTAGAATCTTTTTTTTAGTTTAATATAATATTTATGCTATTTCATGTTTAACTTAGCTCATTCCCGCGTACAAATCCGGGATAAGATAAATCCGAAATATAAAAGCACAATAGAAAAACTTGTCAACGCGATTGATAGATATTTTCGAAGGGACCTTTCTCGTAGATCGCCTTACCTTCGCCCAATTCTTTCTGAATAGTATTGGTAGGGTGTTCTTGATCTTTTCCCACCGTATTAAAGTCCTTCCCAGCAAGTACAGTACCCCACATAATGAGAGACAGGTTAACGTCGTCGCGACCGTGAACATAGTCTTCAACCTTTCCACTTCGTCTGTAACAGAAATATATTGAAAGAATTAATAGTCGGTCGGTGCGATATATTCATTTGAAGAGGAATTTCTGTGTAAACAACGAATTTTTTAGACGAACTTTGACATGTTTTATTGAAGCTATTGAGGTTATGAATTTAAGACATATATATATATATATATATA